CCTAGCACTAGTACCTGTACCCAGCGCCAGTGCTCAGCACCTCAGCCTCAGAGCCCATCCCTATTCCCATGGGAACATTTTTGAGACCCCTCACACAGGAGCTACTAAAACGTTTTACACCCTGCTAGGTCATCAACTCTGCAAAAAGGAAGTCAGAGGCCCTGTCCCTCTGGAACAGAGGGGGAACCATGTTGACCAGGAGCAGGAGGAGAGGGAATGTGGCTCAGCAGTGTCACTGGACACCCCCAGGGCACCAGCTGGGGACAAGGACAACACTGAGAAGCTGGGAGCCTGCAGCAGAGGCAGGAGAAACAGGGCCTGACCGGGCCTTCCACAGCCCCTGCCAGAGTCCCCCTCCCGGCTGTCCCTGCAGGCTGCACCTCTGGGAGTCCCCAGCCAACGGCAGGGCAGTTCAGAAGGACTGCGTCCTGCCCCGTGCCACCTGGAACAGGAGCCTCAGCACCCCCAGGGGCTGGGTGGAGCTGGAAGGAGGGCCTCCCCTGGCCCAAGGGTGCAGGGGTGCCATGTCCCCTGGCCCAGCCCTCCTTGGCCCCTGGCTGGTGGCACAGGGTGGGGGCCTGGACTTGCAGCTGTTTGAGGCATCGTGGATCTCCGCCCGTCCACCCATCCCCAGCGGGGGATGTTGGCAAACACTGCTGAGAGCCCCCACGCGGGCACTGTCAAAACACAGCTCGCCTCCCAGCCAGTTTCCTGCCAGCCCATGAGGGAACCAGCCAGCCTTCGGGAGCTGCGCCCTCCGGAGGGGAGGGGGAGCTGCAGGGCTGTGGAGGGAGGCGCTCGCCTGGAGTGTCCTTCAGGCTGCCAGGGATCTGGGGCAAGAGGTGCTTCACGCAGAGCGGCATCCTCAGAGACACGAGTGTGGGTATTTCACTCTCAAGCACTACTGGCTGCCTGCCCTGTGGAGGGGGAGGACACACCTGTCGCAGGGGCTCAAGGCTGGGGGTCCTGGAAATTAGTACTTCCCTTCCTGGGTGTGAGCCCTCTAGCCAGGGATGCCTAAATGGAAACTAAGAGTCTCCACTAACACAGCACTGAACAGGTAACAGGCTGTGTGCCTCAGCGCCTCCCTGGACTGGTGATGCAATGTGGGGGCAGCAGCAGTCACCTTGAAATCAGAGGAGCAGACAGAGTGGAAAGCTACACTCAGGGCACCAAAGCCACCTGACCCCTGTCACCCACATGAGCTGCTCTCCCTCTGGCTCTGTTACTGCCCTCTGAAAGCAATCTCCTCACCTGGAACTATTCACATGCTGCCCAGTTCAGCACACAGCTCCAGTGTCCTCCCAGACACCTGAGGACCTGGCCTGGGCAGCATCCCCCGACCGCCCAACTCAGGGACAGCCAGGGAGGGACAGCCAGGGAGGGACAGCCAGGGAGGGACAGCCAGGGAGGGACAGCCAGGGAGGCCCCAACACATAGAGCTGCTGAGACCCAATCAAGGGAAGAGTGGACAGGAGAGGGTCCAGCAGATCAGCCCATCCAGGCCCTGGGGGTGGGGCAGGACAGGGACAGGCCTCATCCTTGACACAGAGCCCAGGGTGCTAGGCCCAGGGCAGACCCCCCATAGGACATTGTCCACAATGACCATGCTGCGGGGTCCTGCAGCTGCCTGGACAGTGTGGGCTAGCACTGTCCAGCCTGCCCTGGCCCCTGAGGTCCTGGCACTTACACATGCTCACACCCCCGTGCCATCGCTCACCCACCAGGGCTCCACGTCCCTGCACCACTCCCGAGGACCTGAGCATGCTCTGGACACAAGGTGGCATGGCAGAACGAGATCATCTGGGCCACCACCCCAATGCCCACTCTCCCCCTGGTGAAAACACAGCCGGGGCCCAGGCCACCTCCAGGCATGTGTGCCCTGTGGCTCGGGAGCAGCCCCAGGTCCTCACAGATGTGGCCAGAGCACCTGGCCACCTGCAACAGGACATGCCATCCTGGACCTGGAGTCCCAGAGGGGGCAAAACCACAGGAGGTGGCCTGTCCCCACAGAGGGTGGCAGAGGCCTGAATCACGGCCATGATGCACCTGCGGGGTCCAAGGCCTGCTGAGGCACAAGGGCCTTCTCCTATGAGAAGCAACAGCCTCAAGCTGGATGCCAAGTGCCCCAGTTTGGTCCCAAGAGAACTCTCCTCCCAGCCCTGCCTGGCCATGGRTACGGGATCCCAGGGTGCCCACGATGGCCAGGCTGGCAGTGTGGTCAGGCCTACCAGGCAGCACTGCCCCTAAGCTGTGGCCTTCAGGGTGGCAGGTGTCAACCCATAGCACACTGTGAGCCCCGAGGGACACAGGACTGCCCAGTTCTGGGGACGTGGACTAGAGCGGCCTTGCAGTCAGCTGCTCCCTCAGGGCACCTTGGTGGTGACAGGTGGGGAAGGCACATCAGGGGGCCATGAGAATGCAGTGCAGGAGACACTGGTGGCTGTGTGTGCAGGGACCATGGTGCAGAGGTCACAGGACGTGGCGAGGCCAGGGACGGTAACTGAGCYGTCGGGCTGGGTGGAAAGGAGGGTGGGAGAGGCCTGCCAGGCTGAGCTTGGCAGACGTGGCACCAGCTCTGTGGCAGCTGACCAGGGAACGGGCCCGGGCTGGAGGAGGCACTGCTGGTCAGGCCCTTCCCCACACCCTGCAGGCCCACCAGCTGGAAGGCTGCATAGGCTGCAGCCTGCCCCGGACACATCCACCAGCTCAGGGGTGTGTGCAAGGGCTGGGTCTCCCTGGAAAGGAGGGGCACTGTGTGTCCATGGCCCAGCCCAATCCAGAGTCCATTCCTCCCCCATCTAGGGCCCTGCATTGCAACAGGACATGCCATCCTGGACCTGGAGTCCCAGAGGGGACAGACCAACAGAGAGGGCCTCATACGTGCAGAGCCTGTGGCCTGCGACCTCAGCTGCTGCCCCGTACCTTCTGTCCCCACAAGAGCCTTGCCTGAGACTCAGGGACAGAGCAGACAAGACCCTGAGACATATGTCCCCTGGCCACTCCCTCCTCACAAAGGACACAGCTTGCAGGAAGAGAAGAAAGACTGAATTAGGCAGCATGGCAGTGAGGCCTGTCTGCAGCGGGTCACCAGGACCCAAAGTCTCCCCCAGGCACCTCCTGCGTGAGCCTCTGTGTGGTCCTGCCCGACTCTGCTTCTCAGCTTGAAAGTCTCACTCTTGGCAGCTCCGTTCCGTCTGTCCCCCTGCATCCTGAGTGCATTTCTCTTTCTGTTCCTTGATCTATGTTTCTGGGCTGCTCTTTTCTTTCCTTCCTTGTCCCTGGCTCTCTGGTGGTTTCCTGGGCCTCTCCTGCTCTCCCACCTGCCAGTTTCTCTGGGTCTGGGGCTTGGTCTGTCCCTTGGGGTCTCTGCCGACCTCTGACCTTCATTGTGGAGCTGTCCTCCTTCCTCCATCCATCCCAGTCTGTGTCTCTATCTTGCTCACATGYACTCTGAGCCCAAAGTGACGCCCGCAGGGAGAGAAGAGCTTGGAGCCGAGACAGGTTGCCAGAGAGCCTCGCCTGCTAGCCCCGCCCAGCGCTGGCCACTGCAGTCTCCACAGCAGGAACACAGAACAAACCCAGAGTTCTCTGCACCTTGCGCAGTCTGGCACCCAGCATGGGGCAGCAGCCCAACGCACGCCCACTGGCCACCCCCAGGGCTCCCACGGAGCTGGCACAGCCCGCCCTGGCACCACTGCAGGAAAAACTTTGGGCTGACATGGAACAAAGAGGGACTCCCGGCTGGCAATTACCCGCTAATTCCAGCTTCGCAGACAGCAAGTCAGACGGCTCCGTTTCCCTAAAAGCCCACCTCAGGCCTGAATTAGCCACCTAATTAATTATCTGTGACAGCCTGGGATAGGCTGGTGGAGCCCAGGTCCCTCCCGATGCAGGGTGCCAGCCTGTCCCTGAATCACGTCTGGTGACGTGGTGGTTATAATCAGACTCAACCTCAGCCTGCCTCAGCCGTGCACCCTCAGCACGGGCCAGGCTGCCATACAATGTCTGGGCAGAAGTGCTCTTGCCTCCAGGAGGTGGCCTGTGTGGTACGGCCCCAGCCTCCTCCTCCTGGGCACGGCAGCTCTCAACCCCTCCCCCCGCAGCCCAAAACCCAGCTGGAAGCCACACAGGGCCAGGATGTTCCCCATGCAGGCCACCAAGGGAGTGGGAGAACTGGGCACTGGCCACATGCTCCTCTCACAGGGAGCTCTGGGCACCAAGGGAGCTGAGGTGCCAAGAGTGGACAGCTGCGGGTGGACTTGAGACCCAACCAGGACAGTCCCAAGACTCTGTGGGCCTGAGCTGACTCAACAGTCCTGACCAAGTACACCTGTGCCAACGTGGACCAGACCCTCTGTCCACTGCCCTGGCACCCCAGTCAGGGACTTAGCCCACTATCTTCTAGCAGCTTTCAGTCCAGGCAGCCTCTGGCCACAGTGATGGCCCTGGGCCAATGGGGACAGGGCTCCTTCAAACAGCTCTCTGCAGGCTGCAGGAGCCTGCCCTTCCCAACATACACAAAGGAGGCCACAGAGCTGTCCTATCTGTTCCTGTGTCCAGTTAGCCATGCCTCTGTGAGGACGGTATGGCTCCCTATCCACATGAAACCATGGAGCCCAACCCCACAGCAGGCAGACCCCACACCTCTCCTTGGCTTTCTGGGGCTCTGCTACAGGACCAACTCCAAGCCTACCTTTGGGTGCTGCTTCCCCAAGTGGGGGTGCGGCTGCTCAGCCCTTCAGAGGCTCTGTCCTACCATGCCGGGGGCAGCATGGTACGACAGAGCCTTCCTCCATCTCCAGTCCCCCAAAGCTGCCCAGGAGGCTCAGAGGGGCTGGCACAAGGGTGCTGCCTTGGCCTGTGTGAAGTCCGAGGTGGCCGTGGGGCCCTGCTGTCTGTGCCAGCTTGGGGACACATCTCTGGGTGCCCTGTGTCTGCCAGTCCCCTCCCTGGTGGCCCAGTCCCACAGCCCCCTCCCTGCCTGTCCCACCTCTTACCTCCCAGGGCCTGTTTCATCACAAACTCCATGGTGATGGCTTGATTCCTTGGGACCACTCCTGGATCTCACATTCAAGTGGGGCAGGCGTCCTCTACCTAGGGGAGAGTGCAGAGTCACAGGCGCCCTGACAAGGCCTTCCCCAGAGACCATCTTCATCCCCCCTCCCCAGCACCCTGTAGGGCCAACCCACCCAGGTAGGGCACCTGGGAGAGTGTGTGTGTGAGGAGGCGTCTGTCCTCACACCAGCCAGGATGGCAGGTCCAGCACTGCAGGTGCACCCGGCTCTGAAGGCTGCTTTCAGCAGCTACTGCAGGGAGGAGGGCTGGGAGCAGCCCGGGGGCACTGCTCAGAGGAGCCTGGCGCCAGTCTGCGTGCAGTGGGGGCAGGGCCCAGGGGGCGTTTGAAGGTCACTGCTCTGTTTCCCAGCACAGGATGGGGCTGCTCAGCCTCCTTGCTGGTCCCTGGACAATGGGGCAGGGGTCTGTCTGCTGGGTGGAGAAAGGTTAGGATGGGCAGGCCCTGAGTGGTGCCCTTTGGGGAAGGTGGTTTCTGGTCAGTGTCAGGAGGCCAGTCTCTGTCCCTGGGGAGATCCCAATGCCTGCAGCAGGAGGATGAAGTTGAGGGGACAAAAGGCAGGGGCCAGCCTTTCAGTGGGAGTGGGCAGATGGCCCCCACCTGTGTCCCTGTGAGGTCAGTGGCCAGGAGTGAGTGCCCAGCTGGGTGGATTCTGGTGGCGAGACCTTCTTGCAAAGCCACAGCCTTGCAGTGCCCCTCTTTGTGAGGATCTCTCCTCTAAGGGAGCCCCAGGTCCCTAGGGATCCATTGTTTCATGCTTTTCCCTCTGCAGACCACGGAGACCCCGTGGGGACTGGGGCCGGTGGAGGGCAGGGATGTACCCCAGAAGTGCTGGCACACAGGGCGCCTTTGCCGCAAAGCCTGTTCTCTTCCAAACTTCTCCCCTGGCTCCTGGGGGAGGGGACCGCGGGCCCAGCCGCAGAGAGGTGCGGGCGCTACGGGAGCTGCGGCGAGAACCGAGAACCGGAGGCGCTCGGGCTCAGGGCCGCCGCACCCTCCGCTTCGCGAGAGGCCTCGGGCGGCGCGCGCCAGGGATAAGAGAGCACCGGAGACGGGCGCGGATCCGCTGGAGAAGCGAGGGGCCCCGGGCCGATTCAGCACCGCGCGGCGGACAGYGCCCGCTCGCCCAGGCGGGGCCGGGCCCGGGAAGGGACCCAGGAACCCGGAGCCGGGGCGCAGGGGAGTCGGGAGCCGGGGAAACCGGAGCCGGGAGCCGGGAGCCGGGGCGCAGAGCGGGCGGCCGGGCTGCGCGGGCGCGGGTTACCTTCCCAGGCGGGCGGGCGGCGGCGGTCAGCGGCAGCGCGCGCTCAGGCCGGCCGGGTCCATGTGGCGCCCAGGCGCTGCGGCGGCGGCTGAAGGGCACCGCGAGGAGGGCGCGTCACGCCGAGGCGCCCCCGCCCCCCGCCCGCGTCCCGCATGACGAGGAGGGCGGGGCGCGGCGGTTCCGCGGGCGCCAGCGGGCTGGGCAGGGGCGGGGGCGGTGGCGACACCGCGCCCCGGGATCTCTGGTTCCGTGCCTGGGCGACTTGGCTCGAATCCCACCCGTGTCTGTGGGAGTGCGGGGCACCGACCCCAGCCGCGGTGCCTCGAGACCCCTCGGAGGGCAAGGGCATGGCTGGGGTCACCATCTCCACCCAGCCCTCAGCCCAGGACGGGGTTCCTGGCGAGCGGTCGGGCCCTGCAGAGGCAGGATGGGCAGGAGCTGTCTCAGACCCCAGACCCATCGAGACCCTCGCGGGAGGGGCCCTCCTCCAAGCTGTGAGCTGTGCAGCGGAGCTGCCAAGGTTGGCTTCGGTGGGACAGAGGCCAAGAGACCCTGCTGCCCCACTCCCAAGCCTGGGGAGCTGGAAGGGGTGGAGGGTACTTCTGAAGGTCACAGAGGACGACTGGGTGCTCATTCCCCCAGAGAGTCGCAGTAATCCCGCAAGTCAGGCGCCCTTTCCCCTGGCCCATCTGCTCCCCACCACTGCACTGCAGGCTGGTGGGTCGCTGCAGCCCCTGGCCCTGCAGTCCCTGCAGTCCCTGCAGTCCCTGCAGTCCCTGCAGTCCCTGCAGTTCCCAGCCTGGCATGGCTCAGCCCTGGCCTTGGTTGCTTGGGGCCACCTAGAGCTGCTCAGATTCCTGAGGAGCCTGGCTCCAGGCCAGCAGGTGGTGGTGGACACTGCATTAACTTGTCCCTATTCCCTCCAGCCTGAGTCATTCCACTGAGCATTACCAACCCAGGGGAGACCATTCCCAGGGGGCCCCATATCCAGGACCCCAGGAGCCCTTCAGCATGTGGCTCCCTTTGATAAGTAAGGTTTCTGCACTGAGTCTGGACCAAGTGGAGGGGGGGGGGTTTCGCAGGACCCACAGCACCCCAGAGGGCCAAAGACACCCAGTGACCACCCCCGGACCCTGGCTGACCACAAGAGGCGCTGTCCCTCTCAACTCAGTCTCACCTCACCCTCACCCTGCACGTTAGAGGATGGGTACACAGACCCCATCCAGTCCAGGTGGCTGCTCTGTGGAGGTCCTTGTTCCCGGTGTGCTGGCCTGGCCATCAGGGTACTCAGAATCTAGGGGGAGAGGGGCAAAGGAGAAGAATTAGTCCAAGTAAGAGAGTGGTCACTTCTTTCCACAAGCACCTCTTCTCTCCACCCCTCCATCAGGTGGAACCCACCCCACAGAAGACCCCAGGGTGACCTCCTGAGCCCAGRAGTATGTCCCATAGCTGACCTCAGCTACCTTTATAAGACACCTGGCAGGGAGCTAACCCAGTGTCTTAAGATGGTCCACTCAAGGTTAGGGAGGACAGGGTCCTCTAGTTAGGAGTCCAGGGCATCAGTGCTGGACTTCAAGGTCAACTGCACCCACTGCACAGCCCAGGCCTGGGGGAGCACCACCCCCCAACCATCTCTGCTGGACTTTGAATTCTGACCCCCACCCCCTAGGTCCCTGTAGGTTCCTGTGTCTATCTGTCTGTCTCTGTTTTCTCTTTCTGTCCCTCTCTGTCTGTCTGTCTGTCCCTCCCCTCCCCTGTGTCTCTCTTTCTCCCTCTCCCCTCGGTCTCACTTTCTCTCTGTCTGTCCCCATGTCTGTCTCTCTCCTCCGTCTGTCTCTCCCGCTGTCCCTCCTCCCACCTCGCCCCCATCTCTGCCTCTTCCATCTCCTTTGACATCTGTCCATACCCAGCCTCCTTTTCCTGCTCTCACTCATCCAGGTCCTGATCTAGGGGAGAGAGCCCAGCCAGGACCCTGCTGGCAGGGACAGATGAGGGTGGTGACAGTCCCAGGTCCAGCACCTGGGGCCTGAGCAAGGGAAGCTGCTGGGGCTGAGAAGCCTTCTCAGGAAGTTCTGGGGCTGAGCTACTCACACTGCCTGCCCAGTCAAGCAGGGGCCACAGCTGGGTGGCAGGAGCCCCCCACCACCACGTCTGCTCCTGGGGCCAAGGGGGTGGCACTGCAGGCAGATAGGCTCCACTTGACCTGAGAGCTAGATATGGGTGCTGCTGAAGCCCCAACCCCAGCTGACCAAAAAGCAGAGGCCTCTGCACGGATATGAAAGATGGGGATGGGGCTCCTTCCTGGGCAGGGAAAGGCCAGAGGCCAGGGAGGAGCAGCAAGGGAGCTGTAGCCAGGACGAGAGGGTCCCACCCAGAGGCCAGCCATGAAGGCTTGTGTACTCTTCCCGTCAAGCCTGGTGTGGACCCTGCTAAGCCCCCTCCTCTGCTGCCCTTCAATTGGCTTCAAAGACTCCACCCTCCAGAGAACAACCCGGCCAGGCCCACGAGAACAGAGGGCTCTGTGAGGACTCTTGGCCTGGCAGGGCCCTCCACCCAGGGTCCACCCCAGCCCTCCGCCCAGGTCCTGTAGAGCCCCAGAAAGGCTGCGCCACAGCCCTGCCACAGCAGCTCCTACGTGTCAGGGCTCCACCCGCTCTGGGCCAGGGAAGAGCCTTCACAGCACTTCCAGGGTCTCTTGGTGTCTGTCCACCTGCAGCCCTGGTGAGGCATCTGGCCAGGTGTCAGTACTAGAGGTTCTGTCCTGCCTGCAGTGGCTTCTTTTGCCTTGGACCCTGTTCTGGGTCTGGACTGCAATGGCCAGCTGGTGGAAGGGCAGTGACCACCATCAAGGCCTTGGCCCACCTCACCACAGACCCAGAGCTTAGCCAGAAAGGTCTGGCACCCTTCACAGCAGAAGTGCTCCCCAAGGCTGCGAGAAGTGGGGCTTGCCCCAGAAAACAGAAAGGGCATCCTGATGGGCAGTGGCCTGGGGCATCGTGGGTGCTCCAGGGTGCCTGGCCTCAGGGCCCTGGCTTTCAATACTAGCAATCACTGCCTCCAAGCCTCTGGTGAAAAGCCTCCTGGCTGCAAAGCCGAGGGCCCTGCCCCAGGAGCGGGCCAAAGTGGGGCAGCTGCAGGCCACCAGCTCTGCTCTCTACAGTCCCAAAGGCCAGCCCTAACCACCTGTCCCCTTTCGCAGGCATTTACTGTGACCTTCCCTTCCACTTTCTCAGAGGCTGGTCCAGCCCCTGAACACAGGGATGGCCTGGTCACCCCACACACATGCAGACATATTCACCGCATGAAGATTTGCTTCCAGCCTGCCAGAGACCCCACGGGTCTGGGGTTTGGCCAAGTGGCTGTGAGAACCTCACTGAGGGGGTCTGACAGCCCCTTCTCTCTGCTTCCAGGTGCCTAGAGCATGGCCAGCATGGTTCAGCACAGCCCCAGCCCATGGCTCCACCTCTGTGGTTCCTGAAACCCTGGACGCCAACCCCAGGCAGACCCTGGAAGTAGGAGTGAGTTCAACATGGGACGGCAGGGGGACCCCTGAGGGTCTCAGGGCCTGGGGCATGCTCAGGGCCTTGCAGGCAGTCAGAGGCTCATGTCCACTGTGGACAGGGGGCTCCAGGCTGAACGGGATTGACCCAGCCATTGGAGCATCCAGCACCCCACTTTCTCAAGGTTCAGAACTGAGCCCCTACTGGATGGCTTTCCTGGGCCACAGGGTGGGGTCCTGGGTTGCCCACCCTGGGCCAGAGCCCTCCAGCTGCATGGCAGAGCCCCAGACTTCTGACTGAGCACCTAGCTTGGGGTGTGCATTGGGAGGCCTCCTTCAGCCTGTGGACAGCAGAGCTGGCCCTATGGAAAGGGAGCTCCCCAGATGCGGCAGCCAGGGAACAAAGAGCTCTTGCTGTGGCACTGGGACTCCAGGAGCAGGTTTCACAGCTGAGGGCAGGGAGGAGGAGGCTTCGTGAGTCCTCAGGGGCATGGATGTGGCAGAGGCTTGTTCACATGATGAGCACAGGTGGTTGCTAGGGTTTGGGGCTGTCTCCCCCTCTGGTGCCCTRGCCAAGCCAGGCAGGGTAGGAAAGCTGAGCTAAGCCTTTCTTGGTGACACATGGCTTCCCTCCCCCTCCAGTGACACTGTAGTGAGGCGTGTCACGTGTGGGTATTTCTGGGAGTGCTTTCCACCCAGGAGGCAGGAGGAGGAGCTATTTTGGCCCTGCAGCACCGGGACCCTAGGAAGTCTGTGGTGCGCCAGCTGTCACTGGGTCCCCTTGGCGTCATGGGCCTTGTGTCTACAGGGCATGGGCGGATAACAGAATTGGAGCAGACCCTGGTGTGTGGGGAGTGACCGGGCAGATGGGACTTGGGGTGCAGCAACAGTGGCTGTGTGCTGTGCCAGCGCAGAGGACCTGCCCCAGGAGGGCACCCGTCCAGCAAGGCCCAGGTGGGCAGCAGGAGGCAGCACACAGCAGAGGGAGGGAGGCCCCTGGGCCACACTGCCATGAGGCTGCTCCTCCCAGGCCCAGAGCCATGCCACTGGCCCACTTGGCTGCTGGGAAGATGGGGAGGCACGGAGCTCCTCGACAGCAGAGGTGGCACTGAGTGCCCGAAGTCAGTGTCCCTGGGCTGGGGGAAGAGCAGGGCCCCCAGTCCAGGAGTGAAGCCTGTGAGCTGAGCCAACTGAGGTCCCTGCCAGCCCAGCCTGGGGGCTGGTGGGGGCAGAGGAGTGCCAGTGTCCTCCTTTGGCTTTTGACAGGGTGAGCAGCCTGTGGGACATCTGAGACTAAATAACACCCCCCCCCGACTTGTTCCGTGTTGGCTGCCGCCCCAGGAGAGTGGGCAGGAGGGTCTTTTTGTTTGTTCTGCCATGCTGGGATTGAACCCAGCGGTGCTCYACCCGAGCTACACACCCAGCCCTTTTTATTTTGAGACAGGGTGCCTGGTAGGTAGGAAAGATTTGGGAAAACAAGATTACAGTTTTTGAAGAAGTTCAGGAACCAGGTGTGTTGACACATGTCTGTGATCCCAGCATCTCAGGAGGCTGAGGCAGGAGAGTCAAAATTTGGAGCCCAGCYT